TAAATAAACAACCCAATATGATAAACCAACTTTGTCAAATTAAACTTCAAACAACAACATTCATGTTTCACCTATGATCCTAGAACAATGGGTTTTAGCTACTCATGCTAGTGTTCATCACAAATAGATTCAATTTCATCTCAAATAACAAAAACCAAGAGAAGAAAAGAAGAACTTGATAGTCAAATCTCCTCCTTGCCTCTTGTCTCTCTATTTCTTGCACTAGACTATGAAAAACTTCCCCTTTTTTCTTCCTTGGGCGAGCTTGACTTTATATAGGTTAAATGAGTTTTCCTCCAGATTTCCAGTTCTGCCCTTAAATAACTCTTCCCGGATTTTGGACTAGCGCGACCGCGCACCTGGACGCGCATCTTGCCGCGCTAATTGGCTGAGATTCTGTCATGGACGCGCTAAAAGTAGCGCGGTCGCGCACCTGGGCGCGCATGTCCAGTTCTGTGTTTCATCACTTCTGTTCCTCGTCTTCAAGCGTACTCAGCTCTGGGGGGTCTTTCTTGCTCCAAAATGGTTCCAATCACAACTGTTTAAGGCANTGGATGAGATTCTGTCATGGACGCGCTAAAAGGAGCGCGGTCGCGCACCTGGACACGCATGTCCAATTCTGTGTTTCATCACTTCTGTTCCTCGTCTTCAAGCGTACTCAGCTCTGGGGGGTCTTTCTTGCTCCAAAATGGTTCCAATCACAACTGTTTAAGGCATCACCTAGGCTCCTCATCCTGCAATATATACAATTCACAATTAGAGCCTATTTTTCATCAATTAACCATATTATGATATTGGAATATAATCAAGTGGGAGCATAAACAATCGCCAAATTACCTAGATTTAACCTATTATCAGATATATGTATCATGAAAAAAAATAGTCTTAATTATCTGTATAGCTACGGTAACATGGTAGTCAAGATTAAGATTATTTAGTAGTTTAACCCTTCTTTTGGTACATGAAACATTTATAAAATTATTAATTAAGACCATAATCGTTGACAAATTTGAAAATTTTGCAATGTTCTAAGCTCAATACTCTTCGTGAGCATGAACTGATCATGGAATAACCAATTTGGTCATCTATATTTAGAAGTTGAAGCCGTTGGTTAAGGTCAAATATTTTATGGTAATTTTAGCACGTTTTCAAGTTAACAGACGAGTGGGAAATGCTTTCTTCATTTCACTGTTTTTTTACAAAGTTTGGTATCTTCATTCTTTTCTTAAGACTAAGTTTTTTTTGATTTCTCATTCGGTATCTGGTACTTATATTGGGGCCCGACTAATTCAGATTTGCGCCGGGAAGTCCCACATAGAGGGTAAAGCGCTCCCTAACAAAGGCGACTCCATACCTAGGGACTCGAACTCAAGACCTCTGGCTAAGGATGAAGGAGTACTTACCACTCCACCACAATCCTGGTTGGTAGACTAAGTTAATATTTTGTTGAGTACTACTATTGCCTCTCTACTTTTTAAAATATTCTTTCTTTTTTCTTTAGTACATATCGCTCGGTATTTTTTAAAATAAGACCCCTAACTCATGCTCCATTTATCACGGTGACAACTACATAGAAATAAGAATGGCCTTGGCATATATGCTATGAAGGTAGTTTCGTAATTTTTTTTACAGCTTAGAAGGAATGATCATAAACCTTTCAAAAGATGACTGGATACTTTTAACACTTTGATAAGTTAAAAATCTTCGGTGTGTGTGATGCTACTTAGTACTTTTGATTTATTGGATAGTGTCCAATCTTGCTAATTTAGCATCTGGGTTAGTTTCATTCATAGAAAAATATTTGATGAATATTTTTATGAGAAATAATTTATTTTATTTGATGAATATTTTTATGAGAAATAATTTATCTTTAAAAATCAAGTTTATGTTATAATCATATTGTTGATAGGTACTGTAACAATCCGGTCGGTCGTTTTGAGAGTTAGCGCCCCGATTCTCTAATAACTATTTCCCCCATGTTTGTTTCTGCTTATGGGACTTTCCAGAGTGATTAGTTGTGGATTCCGGAGAGTTTTGGGACACATAGTTCCTAAATATGAGTTTAAGCCTTAGAAACCGGACCGTAGTTGGAACTGTGTGAAAGTGGATTCGAAATGGAATTTTGTCGACTCTGTTAGCTCTGTTGAGTGATTTCGGGGTTAGGAGCGCATCTAGAATGTGTTTTCGAGGTCTGTAGTAGATTTAGGCTTGAATTGGTGAAAGTTAGAATTTCGGCGATTTCGGCCGATAGGTGAAATGTTGATATCGGGCTCGGAATGAGATTCCGAAAGTGTCTGTAGGTTTGTAGTGTCATTTGTAACTTGTGTGTCGAATTTGAGGTCATTCGAACTAGCTTTGATGTGTTTCGGCATCGTTTGTGGATTTTGGAAAAATGCTAAGTCCTTAGGCTTGAATTCATGTGTAATTCTTGTTTTTGGTGTTAAGTGATGTGATTCGAAGGCTCGACTAAGTTCGAATGACGTATTAGGACTGGTTGATAGGTTTAGTTGAGGTCCGGGGGGCCTCGGATGTGTTTCAAATGCTCAACGGGCTAATTTTTGGACTTAAAAGATATCAGATTTTGTTGGTGTTGGTTTCCATCTATGCGATCGCGTGAAGGGAGTCACGATAGCGTAGGCTAATCTGGGACAGGGAAATTTTGTTCTTCGCGTTCGCGTGACGATGAATACGAACGCGTAGGCATGGCCAGTGCTGAATCGCGAACGCGTGGGCTAGGCCGCGTTCGCGTAGATGAAATAAGGCGGCAGTAGATTTAAGTGTTTCTCTACGCGGTTGCATGAAGCCAACCGCGATCGGGTAGGTCTGAGGGAACTAAAGCATCGCATTTGTGTAAGTGTTTCCGCGTTCGCGTAGAGTAAATCTGAGGCGCGTGGTTTTTGCTCTTCACGATCTCGGCTGGGCTTCTGTGATCGCAATGAATGCATACTTGGGCAGAATTGAATAGATTTGAGCCATTTGGAATCGGGTACTCGTGGCAAGAACGTGATTTCGAATTGAGTTGAGCAGTCGAGGTAAGTGGCTTGCCTAATTCTGTTTTGGGGACTTCCCCTTAAGTTGTTTTGACATTTATTTGTTGTGTGGGCGCCGTGTACGTGAGGTGACGAGCATGTACGCGGACCATTGTTGCTAAATTCCATTTTTCCTTCACAAATTATTAAACCATCTCTCTCCTATTACATTGCTTAATGTGTTAATTGTTTAGCTTGGATTAGGAAAAGCATGCCTGCCAGTTTTATATTAAATTGCCTATCTGATACTCTCTGCGCCATGTTTAGTTAGTTTTATTGCTTTGCCTACCTGGGATTTGATGAACTGTTTAAATTAATGCCTTATCTGACATTCATTTTGCATCGCATATTTAAATTGGGGACTACGAACGTATTTGGGAGATCCCCTGTATTACATATTTAAATTAGGGACTAGGGACGTATTCTGGGAGATCCCCCTATACTGGATATTTAAATTGGGGACTACGAACGTATTCTGGGAGATCTCCCCTGTACTGCATATTTATATTTGGAACTACGAGACGGTATTCCGGGAGATTCCACTTTGTGATACGTTGTGCTAAGCCGATGGCTCTTTTTACTGTTATGTTTTAGATTAAACTGCTTATGGTAGAAATTACTTATCTTCCATATTGTTTTAAACTTTATTATTTAGAAATCCAGTAGAACTTTAACCTGACCTCGTCACTACTTGACCGGGGTTAGGCTTGACACTTATTGGGTACCAATTGTGGTGTACTCATGCCCTTTTTTATACATGTTTTTCGTGTGCAGATCCAGGTACGAGTTTCCAGCCGCGTGGCTAGAGATCGTTGCAGCAGTTACCAGGAGACCGTAAGGTATTTCTGCCGCGTCCGCAGAATCCTCCGAGTCACCTTCCACTCTGACCTATATACATGCCGAGCGGCGTTGTTATTATTATTTAGATTTCTCCCTTCAATCTTTATTTCATCGCATTTTAATTAAGTTTTATTCGTAAATTTAGGTTTACCTAGTCGTAGAAATTAGGTGCCGCCATGATGTCTTTCGGAGGGTAAATCGAGTCGTGGCAGGTAATGGTCACAAACAAAGTAATTTGTTTCACATACTCAGTATATCAATCTTGTATCTGTTTGTTGATTTTTATTTTTTTATTTTACAAAATTTTACACTCTCTTTGGTAGATATTGGTAAAGACATAGTGCTACACATTTTGATAAGTTAAATCACACACTGCTGTGTGTGACGCTGCTTAATACGTTTGATTTATGAGATATTGGTTCATAATTAATTCGTTTTTCACAAAATTAAAATATTACTTTGAACTGTAACCAAGCTTGCAAATTTTAGTGAGCTTCATAGGAAGACAGAATATTCTGACAAATATTTTTGTGACAAATATTTTATCTAGAAAAAAAGTTAATATCGTAGCCATATCATTGATAAAGGTGCAACTCACAATTCAAATGCTCACTAACATTAAATTTTAATATGTTCTCCAAGTATCCTTATTTTAAGAAATTTTGCCTTTTACTGATTGGCGTTGGATAATATTTACGAAAATTTTCAATAGATTTGTGATGATTGTTTTTGCTGCAATAATTTCGAACTTGATTCATGTGCAAAGTTATTCTGGTAATTGTATAGAGACGAGATTCAGCTTTTTTAGTGTTTAGAGTTGGTATAAATACGACATGTATCTAATTATACCTAGATTGTTTATCTTCATAGGTACAAATGATATCAAATCATATTGACTTCGATAATAAGTCATCACACGTTGATCGTTCACATAAAACTGTACTTTAATGTATAATTATTTACTCAAACTTTCATTATAATAATATTGATATTGTTTTACAAAATGATATATGACTCAGTATACACGTGCAACTCACGTGGCGAGAAACTAGTATATATATATATATATATATATATATATATATATATAGTTGTGAAGCTCTTGAGCTAATTCAGCCTTAGTTTGGGTCAATAGACAAAACACAATTCTTCCAATCCACGTTTAAAAGGAAAGGAAAAGGTTGAGGGTAATACCAACCTAATTTTGCAGGAGTTGGAACCACTAGAGAAATGGCCGAATCGACAGAGTTGAAGAGGCAAAACCTTGAAGGAGGAGGAGGATCTGAGCCACCGTCATCCGCATCTGAGCCACCGTCATTGACGGAGAAGAGTAAAAACGGATTTGAGCCACCGTCATCATCGCCGGAGAAGGGGGGTCAAAACCCTGAAGCATGCTGGCTAAACCCTCACGATGCCTGTGAGGAGCATGTTCCTGATTTTTTCAAAATTTGGATGAATTACAGACGTCAGACTTATGATTCCAATGTTTGCTTCCTTTTACTTATCTCTCTCTCTATATATATATTACATTTTTCCTATTAAAGTTCAATATTGTGTGCTTTATTTAAATATTATGATGAATTAAAATGTATGTATTCCTAAAATCAGTTCTGTTATTAGATTGAATCCTTGGTTACTACTGCTACCTTTTTCAGGGAAAAAATAATCAAAGTCTTGTGTAATTTGGCATTAAATCGCTTTAAACTCGTTAATTCCATTATGATCCCTCCCTCTTCGACTGATACACTGTTGGCTTGTTACAGGGTTTTGACTGTGACTATTATCCATGTTCATCTTTCGGTACTCTTTTATACCCAGTTATAAATCCTAATACCGCTGAGGCTGAATTAATGATGGAACTGGCTAACTTGGCTATCCAGGAATATAATGAGAAAGAGTGCAATGTATGTATTGAAAGATGATATACACTGGAATTATAAGTCTCTCCCTCACCCCGACTATAATGCTATATATCATGACTCTCCTATCCTTGCAGGTTTTCAAGTACAAGGTTTTGAAGATTGAAAAAGCAAATTTTATGATATCAATATCGCATGACTGTTAAAGTCTTAAATCGCACTCTTGGCACTACTATCGAAACTTTTCAAATCTTTGCTGCTAAATGGATCTTTAGACCTCATGTCAAAGAAGTCCTTATTTGCCGGCCAAAAGACGGGACTAAAAGAAGAGGTAAACACCTAATAACGCTTACTAAATGCCTCTTTTTGTGTGTGTGTGTGCTCGTATGCAACGGCAGACCCATGTGTATGGGTGAGCTGTGTCACTGGACCCCGTAAACTTCGGCCAAACTTTTGTATATATATGCGTATATACCTTGAAATGGTTAATTTAAAACAGTTGGCATCCTGAACACTACACAAGACTTTAGGAGGCACCGACTAAGCATAATAATGTGCATAAAAAGTATGGGTCCGCCTCTACTCGTATAGGCCTTTTCTAAATGAGTATTTGTTTTTCTTTTGTTTTAGTGGTAATTGGTCTTTTAGTTGCTCAATTTTTTCTATCAGATGATTAACCTGTTTCGATTGGGATAACTATGTGCAATCGCTAGTTGATAACATGGATTTTGGTAGAAGCCCAAACAAAATATGCTTATACCATGCACAACGTGTTTGGTATGACGTAGTAAACCATTTTCTAATGTTACCTTAAATTGCTTAACTTGTTTTTCCGCAACTGCGAAAGAAAGTCATTTTTCTAGTGTTACAAATATTATTTCATATTTCTTGTACTCAAACAACCGCTAGTCGGAAATTTCTATGTGATATATTTCGTGTTTGATACTGTTGCCGACCCTTGTCTGGATACAACAACAACAACAAACCCAGTTTGATCCCAACAGGGGAGGTAGGGAAGGGTCTGTACGCAGACCTTACCCCTAACTAATGCAGGTAGAACCCTTGTCCGGATAGAAACACAAAAATGATTAAGCATGATAGCCATTGAACTTTTTGATTCTCGTTTTCCTTTTGTGCTCTTGGTGGCTTGAACTACCTTAAGTGGATCCTAACTAGGTGCTTCATCCGCTCAAGTTGGTGGAGCACATATGAAATATTATGTCGTTAATGCATGCAGAAAATACAAAGTTGAGTTTCGGATTCGGATTTCGTGATAAATTATGGAGTAGAAGGGATTAAGGGACTGGATATTGTAACAGTAGGCATGGGCATTTGCTTTATGTGGAAAATGCACTTGTAATATATAACAAACTTTGGTTCTTCCTATGAACACATTTACAGGCGGGTTTGCTTTTGACGTGCCGAAGCCAAAGCCAAAGCCGAATGGAGAGGAGTGTCACAGGAACAACGGAAGAGGCACGTGAACTATAGTTTTAATATAAGCATCATGTAGTTTTCATGATGTTGTACTGATTGGGAACCATTTCAATTTCTGTAGTGATGAACCCCTTTAACTTTGAGAAGTCTTCTAACTTATAAATCTTAGTTATTCCCAAGCAGACTTTGGAACAGTCTCTAGTCCAGTTTATGTATTAAAATCTTTAGTCATTTCTGATCTGCGTTTATAATTTGTCAGCAAAGGGAATTTCTAATGACAGTTTAGGCTTACCCTTAACCGTGTAGTTATCTATGAAGCATTAAGGACACTCTAAAAAATGTGAATATCTTTGACATTAGTCACAAAATGTATCACTCTTGTTAGCTCCATTGACCTTTCAATAGTTTTAGTGCAATTATTTTCTTTCATCTTTTGATTCGAAATAACTACTTTAAGGGGTCATTCACTGAAATTTGGAGGAACAAAGTGAAGCATGACCAGAAACCCCTAGCCTAGTAATCAAATTAGTAACATCTCTTTAATTATTGGAGTAGGGGTAGTTTCGTAGATGTGGTAGATTCATTGTTCTAATGCCTGCTTGCGTTTCTGTTCTCGTAGTCGCTCCTTTGAGTTGTTTTTAGCTCTCGGCTTCGTAGCTTGTAGCCCTTCGTTCCCGTTTTTGGTTATTAGTGGTAGTGTTTACCTAATACTTTTTGCTTATAGTGGCGGTAGTGAATAATGTGAGAGTAAGGTCATGTCCTCGAGTAGGGCTGGGGGTGGGGTCCAGGGGTGGGAAGCTGGGTAAGAAAACCTCTAGGCTGAGAATTGGGTCATGGAACATTGGGACGTTGACGGGAAAGTCTATAGAGTTAGGTAAGATTCTTCAGAAGAGGAAGATCAACATAGCGTATGTTCAGGAGACTAGATGGAAGGGTACTAGGGCACGAAATGTAGACGGGTTTAAACTATGGTACTCAGGGAGCACTAGGGGCAAGAATGGGGTAGGTATTTTAGTAGACAGGGAGCTCGTGGTTGAGGTTAGGAGGGTAAATGATAGGTTGATGAGTATTAAGCTGGTAGTTGGTTGGTTACTGTAAACGCGATTAGTGCATACGCTCCTCAGGTAGGTTTGGACCAGGAGGTCAAGAAGATACTGGGAGGATTTGGACGAGATGGTGCCTAGTATCCCGCACACAGAGAAGTTGTTCATTGGCGGAGATTTCAATGGCCATATTGGGGCTAGTGCTAGGGGTTATGATGATGTGCATGTCGCGTACGGTTTTGGGAATATGAATGAGGGTTCTAATTCACTGTTGGATTTTGCTAGAGCTTTTGATTTGGTTATAGCTAACTCGAGTTTTCCGAAGAGGGAAGAGCACCTGGTCACTTTCAGAAATTCAATGGGCAAGACTCAGATTGATTACCTTCTCTGTAGGAAAGGCGATAAAGGTCTGTGCACTGACTGCAAAGTCATCCCAAGTGAGCACATCACGACTCTACATATGCTCCTAGTTATGGATCTGGAGATCAAGATGAGTAGGAGGAAGAGGGCGGGGTGCAGGCAACCTAAGATCAAATGGGGCAACTTGACCAAGGACAAAGCTGAGGAGTTAGGGGAGAAGTTGTTGGCTATGAGGGCCTGGATGAGTATGGGGGACACGTCTAGTATGTGGTTCACGACTGCAGATTGCATTAGGGTAGCTGCTAGAGAGGTCTTAGGGGTCACGAAGGACGATCCTGGGGGTCATAAGGGGACTAGTGGTGGAATGGAGAGGTTCAAGATAAAGTGGAAGCTAAGAAAGCTGCTTATTTGAAGCTAGTAGAGAGTACAAACGAGGAGGAAAAAAAGACTTATCGGGAGTGTTACAAAAAGGCAAAGAAAAAGGCAAAGTTAGCAGTTACGACGACTAAGAACACGGCGTTTGCTCGTTTGTACGAGGATCTCGAGGGCAAAGGCGGGGACAAGAGGTTGTACCGGTTGGCCAAGGTAAGGGAGAGGAAAGCCCGCGACTTAGACCAAGTAAAGTGCATCAAGTCTGGAGATGGAAAAGTGTTGATGGACGAGACACTCATTAGGAGAAGATAGCAGACATACCTTCATAAACTGTTGAATGAGGAGGGGGATAGACGCATTGTGCTGGGTGAGTTGGAGCACTCCAAGATCCGGCGGGACTTTGGGTACTGTAGGCGGATTACGATAGAGGAGGTGGAAGGGGCGATGCATAAGATGTGCAGGGGCAGAGCGACGGGGCCAGATGAAATTCCGGCAGAATTCTAGAAGAGTGTGGGGCGGGCAGGTTTGGAGTGGCTCACTGGGCTGTTTAGTGTTATTTTTAAGACAAAGAAGATGCCTGAAGAATGGAGGTGGAGTACTATGGTTCCGCTTTACAAGATGGTTCCACTTTACAAGAACAAGGGTGATATCCAAAATTGCAACAAATATAGGGGTATCAAGTTATTGAGTCATACTATGAAAGTTTGGGAGAGGGTGGTGGAGGCCAGGGTGAGGAGGTGCGTGTCTATTTCCGAGAATCAGTTTGGATTCATGTTGGGGTGTTCAATTACGGAAGTGATTCATCTGGTAAGGAGATTAGTGGAGCAGTACAGGGAAAGGAAAAAGGATTTGCATATGGTGTTTATTGACCTTGAAAAGGCATACGATAAACTTCCGAGGGAGGTCTTGTAGAGGTGTTTGGAGGTTAGTGGCATTCCGGTGGCGTACATTAGGGTGATTAAGGACATGTATGATGATGCTAAGACTCGGGTGAGGACTGTGGGTGGTGACTCGGAGTATTTCCCTGTGGAGATGGGGTTGCACTAGGGATCAGCTTTTAGCCTATTTTTATTTGCCTTGGCGATGGATGTACTGTCGCGTCACATCCAAGGGGAGGTGCCTTGGTGCATGTTATTTGCCTAGAGCTGTCAAAATGGGCTAGTCCAAGCCTCATGGGCTTTTAAATTTGGTTGGCTAGGGCGGGCCGGCCCTTCATCTATATGGGCCTTAAAATGGCCAGCCCACCCTAAGAGGGTCGCGGGCTAGGGAGGGCCGGCCCTTTAGTTTTTTTAGAAAAATATATTTTTCCAAATCTTTAGATATTTTTTTGTGACATAATCTCTTAATCATATGAACGACTTCTGTTTATTTAGAGTGTACAAGAATCTTGATATTTGACAAGGAATCTCGTAATTGAAATGCAAATTTTCTATATCTCTAGCTCTTCTTTTTTTAATGTTACATGAATATTTTTTTAGTACTTTTCTTTCACTTTCCTTAGGTTTAGGAATTGCATCAATAAGTTTATATGTTAAGGTTTTTTTTAATTTAGGTTTAACATTATTTGTTGATTTCATCATTATAATCCATAGATTTTTAAAATTCGTAAAATTTGCTAGTGTTGTCAATTGTTTTGGTTATTAAAACTTGACCTTTTTCTATACTGAAGGGTAATTTAATAATTAATAATATATTAAAGTAACTAAACTGATTATTGGTCACTTAAAGTAATATTCTTTTGAAAAAAAATTATTATTGGCCACTTAAAACTTTCCTAGTTCGTTGTTAGTTAAGCAAAAGAAAAACTAATCTTGTCATACTACATGCATGTCAAAAATATAAATTCTAGTT